CTTAGTATAACACAATTTCACACGCCAAGCCATTCTACACTTCTGGAACCTTTGACAAAGTCAAATGATGCAGGTCTTAATGTTTGGGCACATGGGGATGGGGGAGTCAAATGTACTCCAGACTCTTCCCTCCACACCCGGGTTTCCTTGCCATGGGAATCAGTTGATGGGCTCCATCAAGTACTCAAGAGCAAAAGAAGAGATAAGAGGCATGGACCATCCTAGCAAAAGTAAGGAAAAAGCAACATGACAGTATTGCTGTACCACAGAGGGCAGTTTACAGTGTCATTTCTATTTCAATGGATATAAAATAACATAAATCCTTGAACATGGCATAATTGTGCAAATACTCATAATTATGGGTTTCCCCAACACTTATCCATGTACCAAAAACTGAAAGAGTTACAATTCTAGCTAGGTGGATCATGCTGAACCTAAGTCAATTATCTGTGGCACTTATTCTGCAAGTTAACAGGAGAGAGAACTAAGATTTTTAATCCCTTATTATATGGTAATGATGATGTTGAACAGCAAGATTTCTGACACTTATCCTTGAAATAATATCCCAGATTTGATTATATTCTAAAAGATTATATTCAATACATTTTTTGTTGTTTTAAAAATGAAGACTTAGTAACCCATGAAAATACTAAAATAGTTATATTTATCAAAAAATTGTGGGCCAGGAAGCAAAAATTTATAGCTTTATGGGTTTGCTCTATTTGCTTAAGGTTTAACACTATTAAAACTGTTAAATACATATATATATATATATGTACAAGTTAGAAAACAAGCACCACGAGAATTGCAGTATTCTGTCTTGTTTCTCACCTTCCCAGAGTGCAAATTCACAGTTTGATGGATGATTAACATTCGGGAAAAATTATTCATCTGATTACCAGCAGGAGAGAGATAAAATGAACACAATGTATTGCTGAATTTAGCATTATAATCATGAGAAGAATTTTTACAGATATATTACAGCAAGGAATACTCCCAGCTTTACACACAGGAATTTCCTGAATCTAATATGTAATTTATTCCTGGCAAAGTCTGTCCTTTGTCTACATATATTTCATTTTTCCCAAACATAACAGCACTAAGCTACATAAGTGCTGGGCTGATTTTTGCCAGATTTAACTACTGTATATAGCAAAGCTTTAATAAAGTATTACATCTTATATCTGAAAGGTGAGCTAGAGGAGCACCTTAATCATCCTACCAGTTACAAACATTACAAACCCTGCAACATACCTCATGTGAGAGCAATTCACAGTAAGATTTTTTTCTTGAAGACTATTTTTTACTTTGTTTTGTGAAGATAAATAGAGTAAGCTGTCCTGATGGAGTGGAACTATACAAGGACAGCTGTGAACAGGAGAGGATTTTAATTACATAGTAATCATCCTTTTAATTGTATTTTCCCCATGCCTTTCTGTATCCTATTTTTGACAGTCTTACAAAAATTTAGATCAGTCCATCAGGCCTTAACAATTTCCCATTACAGTCAATAGTCCAGAGACTTCCAGTATCATTACTTTTCTGATGTAGATTAGACTTCCTTTCACTTCTAATCTTGCACCTCTTTTTGCTTTATTCTGCAGTGAAGTCTTAACTAACTTCATTATCTATTGCTGTAAAAGCAACCGTGCTGTGACAAATGCGTATCTTCATTTGTACGAATATGGAAACGACAGACTTGGATAGAAGAAAGATCAAGAAAGCTCTCATAATTAGCAACCAGTAGCATGGAAAAATATGATAAATATTTTGTTTAAAATTATTCTATGCTATTTAGGCATTTTGACTTTACGGAGAAAATGCTTTTCCATTTCCAATGCCAAGCACTGGAAATTAGTTTTTGGTTCTAAGTGTTTCTCAGGATTTGAGAGGAAATGAATCTATGACCGCTATGACAGTCCTGGACTGCAGTAGTAGTGCTGGTCCTGCATCATGGCTCCGTGACCAACAAAGCCATGGAGCTCCATCCACCTCTACCTAGCAAGTATGGGGCCTTTTCCTTGCCAAACTGCTCTTCATGTTCAGCACCACTTCATAGAAGCAGAGAAGTCCTGGACTGCCGAGGTCCTTACTGCACTCTCTGGAAATGCCCAGACCTACCATCTGAGTTCAGAACAATGAGATGTGGCCTGTGATTACTGCCACTGCCATCAGCTGATGCCAGTGTGCCGCAGCCGAGCACAGGGGCGTATGCGGCTCATCTGTCTGAAGTCTGTCTGACTTCTGACTCACAGAATGACTGTTGGTTTGCATTGAGTAACTCATGGATCACACATGCCGTTACTCAGAGGTAACAGATTCAACATTATATTTGCAGTTCTCACTTATTTCTCTCGGGCTGGTTGCCTGTAATATTCGGAAAAAAGCTAGACATCCCCTCAAAACAATTAAAAAAAAAAAATTCCAAATATCTGTGTTGTTACCCCAGTACTCTGAAAACGATGTACACTTTGGTCCTGTATGTAGGCAACACATTTGCCATTATTTTCATTTACTAACCTGGCCATGATACCGGTTTCCAGAATGCATGCCCAAACAATGAACATTTTTGTGAGCATAGTATGTTTAGTAATAAAGTACAACTAGGTCAGCTGCTTCAAATCACAGGTCTTCTTTCACAGCATTTCCTGTTCTGAGTATATTTACATAATACAAAAATAGACCTTTAATTTCAACAAATTACAAACTCTTCTACCATCTTTTGTAACGGAACTGGGGCATTTAAATATTTTCAATATGGGTATGATTTCAGTTACTCCAAAGTGCTACTTATAGCTTCATCTACTCCACGGGTCAAAAACACACACAACAGAGGTGAGTTTTTAAATAGCATTCCTCCTGTTTTAGAAGAGAGAATGTTTGAAATTGCTTCTTCTATTCCCCTGCCTGTTTGTGGAAAAAGGTGTGCAGCTGAGGTCCCAAGCATCCTGATACATGACAGCCCAACCCCTTCCACCTGAAATGCTGCTTACGGCAAAAGTTACAGGCTTCACAATACCACTATGAGGACCCAGAACACACTTTCAGAGGTTTTTATATTGAAACTACGTTCTCATATTGCTGGTTGAAATAGTTACTGCTTGCAGAGAATGAATTTTCACTCAAACTTGTAAAAATATTTCAAGCTTCAATATATTTATGCAACGCTATGTCGACATTGCACTACACCTAAACCCAAGCAAAACAAGCCTGCAGCTGCAGTCAGTTCACCAAATAGCTCTTTGGAATACAAGGATTTTATTTTTCTTGATTTCTGCTGAATTCAGAATTAGAAAGCTCTTAAGAAAATGTTTTACTTCATCTGGAAAGATCTCAATGTCAGAAAAATTCATAAGTATTGCATTGTTGAATTATTCCCAAACAAGGTTTACAGTATTCAAATATGTAAATATCTAAACCTGGACAACTAAATCCTAATTTATTCTCATAAATTATTGGGCTGGATTTCAGAGATTTTGAGAACTTGCAATTATCTCTACTGCCAAGGAAGAACTTTGTGTCCACTCTTCTGTAAACCAAGTCACTTGGTTCGGTGATCAAATATGAGATGTTGTTGACACTAAGATGGCCCTACTTTTGAAATTTATTGACTAAGCCTCTGGCATTACTAGGTGCCATTCAAAATAATGGCTATTAACTAAACTGTGGATTTGCTTCATGAGCAATGGAAAAGTGTGAGCTGCAGCCTGTATCCCATTGCTCACGGCAGTGAGACCAATGGCACACGCTCCACTATGAGTATTTCAGAATACACATGCTTCGCCTATTCAGTTTAGCAGAAATGAGACTGTTGTATTACGCTGGCTTGAGATGAACAAAAATGCATTTATCTCCAGCTATTCACTTTTGTAATTTAAATATTATTCTGTCCCACCTTTCCTCTTGCACCTATTAGAAACCCCCTCATCTCAAACCCTAGAACAGGACAGTCACAGCTACAAGTCATTTTGAAGTTCACCTCTAACTCCAGAGTTAGAGTGGACTAACTTTCTCTAGGACTGAAAGAGTCTTGGTGTTAGTGAAGTATTTTCATTTTGCTATGCAGTATGTGAATACAATAACACAAATAACAGGAAACTTTCTTGCTGATACAGCACCATGAGGAAGATGCTGACCAGTTTCAAATCACTGCACACCTGTCTATCTGCAAAGTGAAGCTTACTTCTTAAATTTCCTAATATTAATAAAAGACGCTCACAGGCTGCTGGCGCTTTCCAGCTACAGAAAAATGTAAGACGTTACAGCAGGGCCAACCTTACCACTGAGAGAATCTGTTCAAGAACACAGGTCATTTATCTGGGGTTTACGCTACCGTCACAATGGAAAGGACATCCTGGGGCCATTGCCACCATTTTGTAAGCAAGGCCTGATGTCTGTACTGCTGCGCTCTTGGCAGCGCAACCATCAGCATGCGGTGAAGTTAGTACCAGTCAAACAGCATTCAACCATAAGGCTGCCTGCAAAACTTGAACCCTTAATCTGTTCCTTCTCGCTAACATGATAATCTACAATTCTCTAGAAAAGCATCTAAAAGGGTGGAACACGCATTCCACCAACGCTCTCATAATCTTTACCATTCCAATAACGAATAGAGCTGCTCAAAGTCAGCTGCAGCTAGCAGACCTAATGCCTGAGACAAAACTAGGAGACGTCAGGGTTTTTTCATTCTCTCTTACGCCTAAGGAAATAGCATATATATGGCTCCTTGCCCATCCACTCAAACACTTAGGTCACACACCTATGCCTCTGGAGATGGGTGTTTGTGTGTGTGGGAGGTAATGCTCAGGGATGAGGTGAGATCTGGCAGGCAGCACCATGGCCTGCTGAAACCTCAAACCACACTTCATGTACACAGTTTAGTACTTCATCCACAAACCCAGACTAGTGTCCAGTCCATTTATGTACCCAAACTCTTGCTTGCCCAATTCATGTACTAAACCCAGGACACCGCTGATCGGGACGCCTGCCGACTTCCTCACCTGACCACGTTGGGGTGCTCAAATGTCTCCAGGTGCCTCAAAACTGCCACCTCTCGGATGGTGGACAGTGGCATCCCCTCCTCGCTGGTCTGCACCCGTACCCGCTTCAGCGCAACAAAGCGACCTCCGTTCTTCAAGTCTCGGGCCTTGAACACCTTCCCATAGGCTCCTTCCCCAATCTCAGCCACACATTCATACTGCTGGTCAGCCAGGTTTGTGCTGTCCTTATCCATGCTGGCGCCGATCCTCTTCCTCCCGTGCTCTGAGTGCCTCGGGACAGCTCTCGGTCTCACTCACTTTGTGAAAACTAGTACTTTGCTTGCTTTGCAAATACACCACGCACTTAGTACCTCTGCCAGAGGGGCAGTAGGTAGCTCTTGCCGTCCTGTTCCCGCACCTCTTCTGTACTGGCCCCAACGTGCCTCCTCCTTTGGCCACCAGGAATTATCATAGAGTCTTTGGGAGCATCGTCTGTGTAAAGCCAGTTAGATCTGGAGGACAAACCAAGCAAGAAAAGTGAATTTAGTTTACTTCATTACTTTGCATTGTTCAGAAAATAAGAAAATTAAGCTAATACAGGTACATGCAAAGCAAAAACGTGGTGCAAAGGAAGATGTGAAGCACCAGGGTGATGGATGTATCAACGTCCCTGCATGGCTGAGACAACACTACAAAGTTATCACGGTCTGCACAGTAGGCTGCAACACACCACTACAGAGCAACTGCGTGCCGTGGGACTTCGTTGAGCAATAGGCTGAATACGACGACCCTGTGAGATACAGGTGATGGAAATGGCAGAGCTAACTATGCCTGTGTGAGAGGAAGTTACGTCCAGGAACTTATGTCAGGATTGTAGGACGCAAAGGTTTCTTCAGCGCATGTGGTGGAATCTCGGAAATGTATCCCATGCTATATTACTGTTACTTATTTGTAAATGATAGCACTCGGAAGTTGCAGCCTTGATGTGCTCTCTGTGCTAAGCCCTGTATGAACACATTGCAAGAGATCAGTTCCTGCCTCAAAGTGCCTGTGGGGAGGAGAAATACGTACATATTTCAATGGCAATAATAACGTTACCGAGCATTGTGTGCTGGAGGTAGATTCAGAAATGTACACTTTAGCTAACCTAGGAACACGCGAGGGGTTTGGCTGGGATCCTGCTGGATGTGTGACCAGCAGTCCCTTGCAGGTCAGGGGGACGAGAGTTGGTCTTCAGGAAGAGCACGCGCGGCCCCGCAGCGCGTGAGGCTGGGGAGCAGAAGCGCTTCCTTCTGCATCCAGTTTCATCCACACTTTCTGCAGGACTGTGGGCAAATCCTCTCCCCTCATAAAGCTCCACATCCATCCTCTCCTTTCCCCCTGCCTCCTTTTAATATAACGATACTGTGACCTCCGGGGCTGTAACCCTCTCCTACACCGTATTTTCACCGCGCTGGGATTAAAGAGCCCCAGACAGCTGACTCGCGGATCCCCTAACTGGAAGCCCCGCATAAACCCGGCGGTATTCTGCGCGTTTATACCAATCTTACA